AAAGAAAACTTATTACTTTTACCATTCTTACATTTGCACTTATTGAGATGAAGATTGAGCGTGTGCTTTAGGAAGCTTCTGAATTAACTTGTTATTAAAGCTATTTCCTTTCTCCCATCAGCTCTTGAGTTAGAGCCATCTATATCATTAGTCTTTAGCGCCATAATTTTCCCCTTTCTCTTATCTCATGTATCAAAAGTCTTTGGCTCATATTTTGCTCGTAAGCAATGAGAGAGCCCAACAAGTTATCAATAGAGCATACATTCAAGTCTTTACAATGACATAATGCGATGAATTTAGCATCAAAATTATTAGGCAAACAACGTAAACTCTTAATAACTTTTTCAGAATTAGATAGTTCCCTTCCTAAGACATGCAAGAATGTCACTATCTTGATAAATTTAGTGTATATGTCGGAAATAGTCTAATTAGATTTCATATGAAATAGTTTGTACTCATACAATAACAAATTGAGATGAAATTGCTTCAATTCATTTATACATTCATAAGTAATACAAAGCCTATCTCATATCTCCGCACCAGTAGTGCAGGTAGAAACATGCATGTAATTTATGAATTTTAAACCACAGAAAAAATAATTTAAGCATTTCGTATTTAGTTGTGCAACATCCCTATCTTCTAAACTCTATTCAGTAAATGAGATTTCAGTTTTAACACCATTAAAAATAAAAAAGGGAGCATAATATCCAATTTGTATCATATGCCATATTTTATAGTCAATCGATAGTAAAAATGTAGACATATGATTTTTTTTTTTCAGAAATCAAACAGGAAATTATTAAATAATGGTGTACATATTATTAAACAACCCTCCACAATATTCATATTCCCAAATTATGCCATGGATCTTTTCTCAAGATTTTTAAGCCACTAATACGAAGAACCCACTTTGATACCTAAAGGTGTCAAAATTTGGTCATGGGTTGGGTTCCGGTCGAACCCGACATTGAACCGCTACTATTTGACCCGACCCAATTTTGCAAATGGGTAAAATCCCAACCCTCACAGGTTACGAGTTGACCCAACCCGACCCATGGCGATCTGGATGGTGAACATGACTGGCGATGCAACACGATTGGTGACGCGACTAGACAGCGAAAACGACTGACGAGTTGGACTGTAGACACGACTGGGATGAGCAAGGTCGAACCCCAATCGTGCACTTCATGGGTGAGGGTCTGAGCGAGTAGACTCCATGATGACTGGACGAGGTCACACGAGGCGAAGTTGAATCTGAGTACCTGATGAACCGATTTTGGGTGAATTGCCGGTCATAATGGGTTTGTTTCGGGTTTCCGGGTCAACCCGAACCCTACCTAATTTTACAAATAAGTTAGGATCCAGCTCAAACCCGAACCTCCATTTCTCAAACTGGTTGACCTTAACCATGAATTTTCGGATTGGGTTCGGGTCGGATTTTCAGGTTGTGTCAAATATTGACACCCCTACCAAGAATGAAAAAAAGGAGGTAAACCCTCCACACCCTCACCAAGAACGACAAACTTGAGGTTTGAGGCACCAGAATAACTCGATTGATCAACATAATCATGTTCCACAGATAACAATTATGACCAGTTCATAAGTTATTTAAGACAATTTCATATATTGTTGCTAAGACAATAAACTCACTCTATTATCTTATATATTCTAAGATGCAAAAAAAAAAAGGTAATAACTTTTTTACGTTGTATTTTCAAATTCAAACGGCCAGCTTGTCTTAGCCAGATACAATGACAACAATTTTGTATTTACTAATATGTGTTGAATGTTCAATGGTGAGTATAATTTTTTAAATTATTTATTTTTGTCAGTTGTATAACCAGATAACAACATTATCTACCAAATACAGTGTGTTTGGGTTAGCTTTTTCTCATTTCCATGATTTATTAACTACCTAATTAGCATATATGACTCAATGGCATATAAACCCTTACATAAACTACCCATTAGAATATAGGCTGTATGATGATCTTTCATTGTTATCAAATTGTTTGAGGAACATAGGACTCTTAATCTTAGGTATTATGAGATAATTTTTCTCAAAGTCGATGCTTTACATATTTTAATGCTGTAATTATCTAACTCTCTTAAAGCGTTCAATCTTTTTTTCCACTGAGAAAATTGTTCATTGATTGAAGCTTACTATTAACTTAACTAGTTCGACTATTCTTAGATATCCCAAACAGGGAATTTAGTATAAATTCTTTCCTAGCAACGAATTGATCATGTTCATTATATGCTGCTAATTTTTGAACGAACATATATAATACAGTACACTCTTTCAGCTAACAAATACTAATGGAAGCTCTATATAAGCTTCCAATGCAAGGCCTCAAGAACTTCTGAAGCTGAGAACAGAGCTCTATAAGCAATAGATGTACTGCACAACCAGTCACATAAGACAACTATAAACTTAGCCAGGGAGATTGAAGTGAAAGAACCAGGAGATAACAAATGCGAAAACCATGCAAGCCAGAAGGAATTTTAAGAAGTTATGCCCATGCCAGAAAGGTCGACTAGTTTCAGCTTGCGGCAGTGCCGCCATTGCTGTGCTGCTGCTTCTTTCATTTGGATGCTCAACAGACACAGCCTCGCTATTTTCAGGTACATTTTTAGCAGTCGAACCACAAATCTCACATGTTCTGAAACAATCACACAGAAAGATAATTTAGACTTAGAATGAATAAAATGTCATATTCAATTTGCAATCAAAATACTAACGAAAGGCCTCTCAAACTTCAGCTCAATAATAACAGTTGATGCTTTCAGACTTCAGAGCCTCTCTGTTTCACAAAGATTTCATTTTAATAATTTATTACCAAGGAGTTGTGTATCCTATTAAGATCCAAACCTTGATGGTTAAGTTCTAACTGTAGAAACTCTAAACTTTCCTTGAACAGCAAGAACACATCTTGAGAAGAAGATGAACAGTAAAAAGCAAAGTAATAATATGTATTTTCTTGTTTCTACAGGTTACAGAATAGGTCCTTAAATAGATGGCTAGGAGTTGCTTTACACATGTCACGATATTAGAGGATTACAAGAATAGAGAGTTTAAACTAATTTGCTGACTGTACACTTTGTTTAAGTACACTAACATCCCCCCTCAAACTGAGAATTAGGTAGAATGGTCAGTTTGGATCGCAGCAACTTGAAGCGAGGAGTGGATAGCGGCTTGGTGAGGATGTCAGCGAGCTGATCGATCGTGCTGATGGGTAGTAAGCGAATGACTTTGTTCTGAATATGCTCACGAACGAACCGTTGATCGATTTCAATGTGCTTTGTGCGCGCATGAAAAATGGGGTTATTAGCGAGAGCAATGGTAGAGGTGTTGTCACAGAAGATGTCCACCGGTTCCGGATGATCAATGCGAAAGTCGGCGAGCAGCTTCTTGAGCCAAATGGTATCCGCCGTTGCTGCAGCTAAGGCGCGATACTCAGATTCAGTTGATGAGCGGGAAACAGTCGTCTGCTTCTTAACTGTCCAGGAAACAAGAGTATCACCCAAAAACGTGCAGAAGCCGGATGTGGATTTCCGGGTGACGGGATCCGATGCCCAATCCGCATCGGAATATGTCTTGAGCAGTAGAGTTGATCTTGTGATTGGCAGACCAAACTCGGTGGTCCCTTGGATGTATCGGATAAGCTTTTTCAACAGGAAGGTATGAGCTGAGGCTGGATCGTGCATATGCTGAGACAGGGCATTAACGGCGTAGGCGATGTCTGGTCGTGTAAGAGTCAAATATTGCAGAGATCCAATCAATTTGCGGTAGACGGCTGGAGAAAGACAGGGAGCAGACGTGGTCATGTTACCTGCGATTTTCGTTACACAGGGATTAGCAACTGAGTTGCAGTTTTGCAACTCAGCCAGTTCTACAATAGATTTCGCATAGAATTCTTGAGATAGAAAATACTTATCAGCGTTCGTAGCAATTTTGATGCCGAGGAAGTGAGACGGCGAACCAAGGTTTTTCATGGTAAATTTGAGTTGTAATTGTTGAACGAGCTGTTGAATCGCTGAAGGATCGTTGCCGGTGAGAAGGATATCATCAACATAGACAAGCAGATACAGTTGTACGTTGTTCCGATGAAGAAAGAGAAGTGATGGATCGGCCTGACTATGGGAGAACCCGAGCTGTTGGAGGTACGAGGTGAAAGTTGTGTACCACTGACGAGGAGCTTGGCGAAGACCGTAGATAGCTTTTCGCAATCGGCACACATGGTTAGGATTTGTGGAATCCTCAAAGCCTTTTGGCTGTTTCATGTAGACCACCTCATTGATGTCGCCGTGCAAGAATGCATTGGTTACATCCAATTGAAGCATTTTCCAACTGTAAAAGAGCGCGATTGTGAAGAGGATGCGGATAGTGGGAAGCTTGGCGACTGGACTAAACGTGTCATTGTAGTCGAAGCCATGTTCTTGTTGA